ATGTCTCCCATAGTGATAAACAAGGAACAGCGAAATGGCAGGAAATGACAACTGAGTCTGGCAAATGGTCTAGCATGAGCATGATTTCATCCCGTGGGGAGAAGCCAGCCAGCCTGCCAGTTAGGGCAGTTTCAGAAAATAGCCATATTTTAAGACCAAGGAGCATTTAAAATTATTACTGAGACACCCACTGTCACAGCCTGGCACCAGGGCTAGTATTTAAGCACTGCATTAAATACATCTCCCTGTTACCACCATCATTCAAAGCAGGTGTGGGAAACCTCAGGCCACACTACACACAGCCCCGTCTTCATTTCACACAAACTATGGGAGTACGTGTACAAAAAGTACCCGAAAGCCCTGGCTTGTTTGTTGTTCCCCAAACGAACGATACAGCAATGAAAATATGAGCCAACTGTCTAGATTTTCAGGGATACCAGTTTCAAATGCTGCATAATTTGAGTTGCAAATGCTTTACATATCTGACGAACCTACTGCTCCCACCAGTAGAGTGCATGAGTCCGCCTAAGAAAGCCCAGCAGCCTTTCAATTACTTGCAAGGAGCAATTTGTACAGCCAGACTAATCTCAAAATAAAGCAATTAATTTGAGGAAAAAAAAAGAAAAGAAACAAAAAAAATCCCTTCCCCCAGTAATTTCCACTTTGGTAAATTTATTATGCGGCTGCAAATTAATACGTCACCTGCACTAGCAATCACAAGCCTCTCAGCCTGTCTCAGAACTTGCTTTTATAAACAGCTGCATGTAGTGGAGGAAAAATGCAAACATCTCTCTTGTTTCTCTGTGCCATTGTGTCAGCTATTCTACATGTCTTTGAAGGTGCTCCAAAATCAGCATGGCTCTGCTTCTCCCTTTTTCTCCTTTTGGGAGGAGGAAGGAGCAGAGAAGGAAGGACAGGCTGGCAACAGAGGGCTAACTCTGTGCTTGCTGTGCTCTTGACAGTAAGGCTGAGATTGTTTAAATTCAGTTTACACAGGCTGTTCTGTAAGGACAAAAGAAACCACTGCTGGTGGTTAAAAATGCAAAAGGTTTTGATTGTAATGGCTTGACAATCAGCCAAAGATATGACTAGGGGGAAAAACACAGCAAGGCAGCTATGACCAGAATGGAAGAAACAAGGAAAAACACATGGCTTGACTTCAGACCAGAAAATTGACTTAGGCTTTGCATAAATGACAGCATACCTCCAAGCTTGCCTGATCCACAGTCTGCCTGGAATGAGAACATGTAGTCTAAAAGCAGAGCCTATTAAAAGGCATAATGTTTCTAAACGGCATCTGTTACGTACTAATAAGCATTACTTAAAGGACACAGGCCTTAAATTGCTACCAAACATGCACTTATCTGAAACTGCTGCAAGGCAATCATTACAAAAATGTCACATGACACCATGGGAATTTGACTAATATAAAATGTTTTTATTTAGTTTGGCTTGAAATCATTACGCAGAAAAAATATGGAGGCACTTTCTGAGATTTTGAAACTGTGCAACTTCACAGGAATGAAACCCTAGCAAGAATTACATCAGCAGAGCCATTTGCCATCTGTTGTCAGCAATACTATAAAGACCAGCCACCAGACAGCAGTTTGAAAGGTTACAAACACAACATTTTTAAGCATCCACAAACCTCTCAGTAACTGAGCAGGACCCAGTTTACTTCGGATATGTGCGACCTGAGGGTCTGCCAACCATTTTGCAAAGACACCAGAACTGTGAACTACCACACAAAGTGTTTGGGAGTCTCTCAGTACGCAACCATTATACGATGTGGAAAACACATACCAGCCTGCTCTACGTAGGTTCCTCTAACGTACTCACAACCATAATGTCTGTACACCTCCCACTTGCAAATTTAAACCGGCTAGACTTTCTCTTGTGGTGTTTGTTTTCTCATACTTTCCCCCAAGGGAAGGAGTGTATTCACTGCAATGCTATTATGAAAAAGGACTCAGATTTGTTTGCTGGGGTTTGGACTGTATTTTTTCTTTGAGGGAAACATTCAGGATTTTGTTTCCTGATTTCTTTCCTTCTAGACCATAACTACATATTTATGTTAAAGAAAGCAAGGTTTCAGTAACTTGCCTTACCTGTGGCATGGAAAGCAAGGAGGTTATGACAGCCCTTACCTCTCAGATACACACGCTCCTCAGTCTGAGTAAGATCCTACCTGTTCCGTACGTGAGATTTTAGTTAAACTGAAGGAATATGTTGTTGATCAGTCTCACTGTAGAACTTTGAATATCTTTTCTAGATGTGGGGGCCACGTTCATGATACATGGGCCACAAAAACAATCAGAAGGATGGAACACCTCCTACGAAGACAGGCTGAGAGAGTTGCAGTTGTTCAGCCCCGGGGAAGAGAAGGCTCCAGAGAGACCTTACTGCAGCGTTGCAGTACTGAGAGGGGGCTTGTAAGGAAGATGGAGACAAATTTTTTAGCAGGGCCTGTTGCAGTAAGACAAGGAGTAATGGTTTTAAACTAAAAGAGGGTAGACTTAGACTAGATATAGGAAAGAAATTTTTACAAACTTTTTACCTTTTGCCAGTTATTCCATAATTATTTTAAACATAGGTATATTCAATTAAATAACTACACCAAAACTTGGACAATACCTAGAAACAATGGCATCTGTTCCAAAAGAGGAAGGGGATGGAAGAACTATTCTAAACATTCAATTTGAGAGCAATGAAAAAGTTAGGGGGGAAAACGTAGACATTATCTCAAGTGCCCAACAATACAATGTGTACTTGGACATGCAAAGCCAAGTCCCATTCATCTAGAGATATTTTATTTAAAAACATTAGCAGAATTGAGAGACTTCCAAAAAAAGCCAACAGCATTATTACAAATGTTTGACTTTCATAAGTGGCTGATAGGAGGGAAAAAATAGAGCAATCTGACTACGGCGCATTTAGCCATGAGCAGCTAGAGGAACTAATGAACATCATCATTATTTTACTGAAGGGGATGAAGTAGGTGCTTTAGATAAATGGCAGCAACTTAAAATGCGTTTCAGAAGATAAATTCACTTTCTCTCCATTTACCTGCTAGTGTGACAAATTAAGAAAGAAGAGTATAAAAACAGAGCAGGAGGGAAAGCAGTGCAAAAGCTAACTGAGGTGATGCAATGGGCCCTTATCCAAACAAGTGCGTGAACAGAGATTCTTGGAAGTGCTCCTAGTCAAATATAAACCAGGAACACTACACACACCAGACTCCCTTGGAACTCCATAGTGGAGCATGTGCAGAAGGATTCACCTGTCCTAAAATCAGCTCCCTTACCAAGCACCAGGAAGCACTGCCATTTGGGAAGTAACATGTCAGTTTCAAAGCAATGTAAGTCCACCACTTATGGAATGGCTGAGTTCTCTCTGTTGGCCTCTGCTGGGCCGAGCAACTCTTTGCCTACTGTTAGAAACACCAGTAAATTAACTTTTGCGCTCCAGAGAGACCTTACTGCAGCGTTGCAGTACTGAGAGGGGGCTTGTAAGGAAGATGGAGACAAATTTTTTAGCAGGGCCTGTTGCAGTAAGACAAGGAGTAATGGTTTTAAACTAAAAGAGGGTAGACTTAGACTAGATATAGGAAAGAAATTTTTACAAACTTTTTACCTTTTGCCAGTTATTCCATAATTATTTTAAACATAGGTATATTCAATTAAATAACTACACCAAAACTTGGACAATACCTAGAAACAATGGCATCTGTTCCAAAAGAGGAAGGGGATGGAAGAACTATTCTAAACATTCAATTTGAGAGCAATGAAAAAGTTAGGGGGGAAAACGTAGACATTATCTCAAGTGCCCAACAATACAATGTGTACTTGGACATGCAAAGCCAAGTCCCATTCATCTAGAGATATTTTATTTAAAAACATTAGCAGAATTGAGAGACTTCCAAAAAAAGCCAACAGCATTATTACAAATGTTTGACTTTCATAAGTGGCTGATAGGAGGGAAAAAATAGAGCAATCTGACTACGGCGCATTTAGCCATGAGCAGCTAGAGGAACTAATGAACATCATCATTATTTTACTGAAGGGGATGAAGTAGGTGCTTTAGATAAATGGCAGCAACTTAAAATGCGTTTCAGAAGATAAATTCACTTTCTCTCCATTTACCTGCTAGTGTGACAAATTAAGAAAGAAGAGTATAAAAACAGAGCAGGAGGGAAAGCAGTGCAAAAGCTAACTGAGGTGATGCAATGGGCCCTTATCCAAACAAGTGCGTGAACAGAGATTCTTGGAAGTGCTCCTAGTCAAATATAAACCAGGAACACTACACACACCAGACTCCCTTGGAACTCCATAGTGGAGCATGTGCAGAAGGATTCACCTGTCCTAAAATCAGCTCCCTTACCAAGCACCAGGAAGCACTGCCATTTGGGAAGTAACATGTCAGTTTCAAAGCAATGTAAGTCCACCACTTATGGAATGGCTGAGTTCTCTCTGTTGGCCTCTGCTGGGCCGAGCAACTCTTTGCCTACTGTTAGAAACACCAGTAAATTAACTTTTGCTGAAAGAAGATGAGGCGCGAGTGACTTTTTTTCCCCCCCAAAAAATCATCATTAGAGACTACATATTTCTTGTTCTACAGTCAGCCTATGATTCAGCAAAGAAAGTTTTTACCAAATACTTTTTAGAGAAAGGGTATGTCCTCTGCAATGTAGAAAACCTTTTGTATCTCACTTGTACACCAAAATAATCAAACTAATTATTCTTTTGTGGTCAAGAAGCAACATGTTTACTGCTCCTTTTGTCCCTGTTAAACCATGCATCCTTTGTTAATCCATGTTTTTGTGCAGTTTGGGTAAACACTTGCTGATACTGCCTGACATTTGGCCTTAAAAATGTAGAAGTACTTTTACACAGTATTCCCTCAGCTCTTTAGCAGTTCTCCAGCACTTTGCCATCAAAGTCCCAACCTCATGCACCTGTGCAGTGAGACCTCTGAACACATACTGGAAACTGACATTTGGAGACGAGCCCTTTACAAGCACCACCTGCTGAACCAAAGCTGACAGAAATCCTCGGGCCAGCTCCTCTCTGCTTCAGGACGTGTTTGGACTACCCTAAAACTTGGAAAAGTTACCTGAACACGTAAGGAAAAGGGCAAAGAACCCTGTAGCGGCCTACTCTGGTTGCCCCTGCTTTGTGCAAGGTGGGGTTAGACTCCACCATCTCCCCTCCAGCAATGCTGTGGAAAAAAGGGCGCTGGGAGAACGGTAATGCAGAGCCGGGGCTCGCCCGGTCATGACCGCTGGCAGCTGAGCAAAGTTTTCCTGGAAAGGCCCTAGTGTTTTGCGGCGTTTTGTCCGCTTCTGGAAAGCCCGGCCGCGGTGCCGCGGGGAGCCCGCCATTTCGGGGCGGCGGGAGGGGGGCTCCTCACAGGAGGCGGGGGGGGGAATGGCGCCGGCGGCGCCCCCGGACAGCCCGGGCGGGCGGTGCGACAGCCAGGCACCGCGTCCAGCCTCTGCGGGCGGGCGGCTGGCCCGGCATGAAGGCAAGAAGCGAGCGGGGCGGCTGCCGTGAGGAGGCGGCGTGAGGGGAGAGACGGGGCAAGGGGAGGAGACCAGGCCGCGGGGGAGCTCCCGAGCGCTCTCCCTCCCCTCTTACCAGCGGCGGCTCTTCCTCCTCCCTCGGCCTCCATCACTTCCTCCGAGGCGGGCTCCCGCCCCCGCCCCGGACGGGGTGGCGGTGCGGCCCAGGCCCTCTGCGGGCGGACCCGGAGGGGCGGGTCGGGGCTTGGGCTGACAGGAAAAGCGGCGGGGATGGCGGTCGTGGGGCGGCTGGGGGAAACAAAAGGACGGGGGAGGTGACGGTAAACAGTCTGGAGAAGTTTCTGTAGGGGGGAAGGCTGGGGAGGCTGCGAGCTCCCGGCAGGGTGTCCGCAGGCTGAGGGGGCGGCCGCCGGCAGGACCCGGCCTGTGGCGAGGGCCAGCCCAGGACTGCCTCTTAACTTCTAAAACTCCCAACAAAAGTTACAGATTCTTCCCTTAAAAGGCCCTGAATGTCAAGCCGTAAAGCTAACGCCAATTTCTTTAGACTCGACTGGCAAAGGCAGGAGGGTTTATGAGGGAAAGTAAGTGCAAAAATGACATTTTTATAGCGTTCTTCAGCAACGCGCTGCAGTGATCGTTGTCAGTGTGAAAGAGGCTTTTGGTAAAGCTAGGCATGCAGCCTGCTGTTCATTATTACAAACTGTAAAATTGAGGTACAGACATTAAAATGAATACACAGTTGTCAAAATTAGAAAGTAGAATCCAGGTGTTGACTCCCGGGAGCCTTCCTACAGCGGGTGTGCGATGGCTTAATTATTTCTAAAATAGCAGACACAAGTATCAAAAGAGGTGAAGAGAAAAGTGCATGGAAATAACAGAATGTTTGCATGGAAACAAACTTACCTTTGCACTTTCACTGTCCGGGAACATGCTGTGACCTGGAGGAAAGGTTTCAAGGCAGCATCTTCAGTGCCTCACATCACTGTTAGGTCCATTCCCTGACAGCACAGGGACTGGAAACTCCATAAGGTTTCTCCCCCTCTGAAATGGTTTAAAACACATACTAAAGTAGATTCATATTTTCTTTCCTCAAAGGACAACATACTTTACAGAGTATCAGTGGATTTCAGCACCATACTTTACAGAGTATCAGTGGATTTCAGCACAATTTTGTGATCTGGATTCATATTTTCTTTCCTCAAAGGACAAAGTGAGCTCAGCCCATACGCTGATGCTCTCAGCCATACTTTACAGAGTATCAGTGGATTTCAGCACAATTTTGTGATCTCCTGGAAGCTTTGTAGCTTCCACCACTCCCCATGTTACGCTCTGCCCAGAGGTTTGGCTGTGCCATGAGCCAAGGCCTCGTTTGATGCAGCATTGCCGTGTGGCTTTGCCTGAGTTTTATCGAGAAAATTGTTAAGCCATGAGAAAGTACATGGGCTAAAGCTGTTACAGACGAGAAGATAAAGTCACAGGAGCATTGTTGTTGGGATGACAGTAATTAGCTGGTGAAAGATTCAAGAGGAAAGATACAGAAGTAAAGAAAAGCAGAAAATGTGAAAGTAACTCAGTAATGCTGAGGGATCTGCCCATACCAACAAATGGCAGAGACCAACTTTCCCCAGTATATCAGAAACTTCCTGGCCAGCTAAGACTCATCAGTTTTCTGATCAGGAGTGGTAAACATTTTACTGTTTAGCCTAGCAATCTGTTAGTTCTAGCTATCTATTTTGCATATTAGCTGATAAATCATTACTTAAATTGTGTGTATCCTGCTTGCAGAGTCTCTTTGTGCATGGTAAATGATGCCTGAACAAAAGCAACCCATTGATTGAGAGTTGCGTGCTCTCCTGCTAACGTATTTTCTCCCTGTACTAAACTATTATAAACAAACAAACAAATTGGAAACTTCCTGGCCAGCTAAGACTCGTCAGTTTTCTGATCAGGAGTGGTAAGCATCTTACTGCTTAGCCTAGCAATCTGTTAGTTCTAGCTATCTATTTTGCATATTAGCTGATAAATCATTACTTAAATTGTGTGTATCCTGCTTGCAGAGTCTCTTTGTGCATGGTAAATGATGCCTGAACAAAAGCAACCCATTGATTGAGAGTTGCGTGCTCTCCTGCTAACGTATTTTCTCCCTGTACTAAACTATTATAAACAAACAAACAAACAAAAATCTTTCCATACACAGCAGTTAGTTTTTGTCAATACTGCAAGATCAGAAACTTCCTGGCCAGCTAAGACTCATCAGTTTTCTGATCAGGAGTGGTAAACATTTTACTGTTTAGCCTAGCAATCTGTTAGTTCTAGCTATCTATTTTGCATATTAGCTGATAAATCATTACTTAAATTGTGTGTATCCTGCTTGCAGAGTCTCTTTGTGCATGGTAAATGATGCCTGAACAAAAGCAACCCATTGATTGAGAGTTGCGTGCTCTCCTGCTAACGTATTTTCTCCCTGTACTAAACTATTATAAACAAACAAACAAACAAAAATCTTTCCATACACAGCAGTTAGTTTTTGTCAATACTGCAAGATGACCAGAACTGAAATTATAACAGCCACCCAACAGTCTGCCTACGTTAAAATTATATACTATTTCAATTTTTTCCATTATTGCTAAGCACTGGGTGTGCATCAACGGTATCAGTTACAGAAGAACTAATATAAATAAGGCAGCAACATAAAATATATAACACTTTCTATCCAAAAAAAGGTATGTGAAATTGCTGTTACATTTTTCCATTTACCGTTTCTATGAGTTTGCTATAGAAGAGGCATTGGTCCACAGGGAACAGTGAGCTTTACACTGAAATGTTTGTCTCCTCTCTTTTTGTGACATTGCATTCCATCTATCTAAAGACCAGCTTCGGTCTTTCCCCAGGATCATTTATTTTTATTAGAATGGAAAGAAATATAGGGTGTGAGATACTGAAATTTCTATTTAAAGTCCCATTATAGTTTAATGTTAAATAGCATAACAGCTTGATTTCTCCTTCCTCTCATTAAATGTTGAACAGCTGAGATAAAAATTGAAATATATTAAACACTTCCACTTAACAGTTTCAAACATTGGTCAGTGCCTGCCAATAACAAGAAATAAAAAATCTATATGTAAGTAATAATAAAAGAGATAAAAATTAAGGAGCTGTTTCTAAATGAAGGGCCATATTCAGTTCTTGTTACCATCAGTACTAAAAAGCTATTTGAGCGGTGTTCTGGCAGTTCTGCAATATGAACAGAATGCATTTGCAGAAAATATATTTTTCTCTTACTCAGCAGTTCAAATAATTTTTAAACGTGTCAGACAACTGTACAGAAAAATATTCAGGGTGATAACCAGGGCTTTCATAGTTCAGTTGCTTCCATTCCTTCTTTACCTCAAGATGAATGCCATGCCAATCACGTTTGTTATGGCAAGAAAACCAACCTGTGTTTAGCTGAGTCAGCTGTCTCTGTGACTTGCCTTCAAATATCCACGGCTTGGTTTCTTAATTATGGATGGGGAGATTAATTTGCACAGACCTCACATATCCAGTGACTTGGGTATTTATTGTTACAGGCACACATACACACGAGTGCTAATATTAAAGCTACAATCATACTTGCACAAGAATTTCGAGAGTAGTTTCAACTTCAGCTGAAGAAATGGTAGAGGAAAGAAAAGGTTTAGTCATTAAGCAACTATAGACCTTAAATCTTGCTTTATTCCTTGCATCTGCTTTGTTCATTAGACCACCCTGTCCTTAGATATTTTTTTTAATTTATAATATCTATCAAGCTTTTTTTTTTTTTTTAAATCAGAGAGAAATATGAGAATAGTCATATGCCATTGTCCTTACTCAGTATCATAGGAAGAGTTTTACTAACTCTCAATTAATTGATTAAAAAGTTAATTGATGAAAATCTTGTTTGACATAGGGGAATATCACTGATATGAGAGGCAGATTTTGCCTTATTTAAAGCTGAAGAGAGTTCTGTGTTTACTGTATTAGCTGCTTCTTTGGCCTCAGTGGTTAGCAAAAGTCAGTTTTGCAACTGCTATTAGTCAGGGGAAGAAATGGGTGGTGGAATCAGGGTCTTTTTATTTAAGAGAATCCACAACTTTCTTTCTGTCTCAGTGCAGGAGGATTTAAATGACACACGGCTCATAGCTCCAAACCTCATTCAGCCACCACCCAATCCAAGAGATTTCTTCAGAGATTTTTTCTTAAGGTCTCACAATTACCAGCTCTCTTGAGATTATATAGTGGCTTTCTATTCTTAGCATATTTCTCTCTGTGTGTCTCTCTCTCGCACACACACACATACACTTCCTACTCAAAACAAGACCCAGTGAAACCCTCTGCCCACATAGTTATAATTCCCAAGAGAACTTTCATATGCTTTTGTTTTGGGCAGTGACAATGTGCATATGTTTTGATTTCAGGCCCCCTATTGGTTCTCATGCTTCAGTTTAATGAAGACAGACCAGCTATTAAACTCTCCAGTTTCGGCAAGCTATAACTCAGCTTCTAGAGTTCCTTTGACCTTGCAAGTTGGAGTGAGATTTTTTTAACATGTTGCCTGTTCCAGGATATTACTGAGTAAATGTTTTGGTTTAGCAAATACATACATTTTCCTATTGGTGTTTTGTTTTAAGAGTGTAAGCTGCTTGGATTCTTTTATGAGAGAAGATAAAGCTCAAGATTAGTAAATTACATTTCTGCTCTGAAGAGGAACAGCAAAGTTACCCCTGAGCTTTTTAAATCAGTAAGAAAAAGTCTAAGAAGAGTGGAAATGGACAGATGCGTTTTTGTGGTCAAGTCATTCGTCACGATTAAAGTGAATTACAACTGTGCTAAAAATAGAATATCCACAGAGATATAATAAAACTGATTCAATTGACTTTCTGTTTACTTGTACATAAACAGGTTTCTGATGAAAAATATTGCTGAATATTTGGCAAGTTGTTTCTTTAAGCCTTTCCTGATCTTCCTAAATACTATTGCATGCCTGAAGAAAGGAAAAGAAGTTTGGGGCAGTCCCAGTCAGTCAGCTGGTCAGTCAGACTTCTATCTTTAATACAGAGACGTAACAATTTTTGCCTTGAAAGTTACATGAATCACAAATCATCCCTGTCTTGCGAATCCAGATACATCACAGTTTGAAGAAAAAAAGGTGCCCTAAATGAAATTTGCCACAGATATGTGAATCCTAATACCGTTTGGAACTGAAAGACAACAAGATTGGACTTTCTGGAGCACAGATTTCATGGATTCAAGTTCCAACACTGTGGTTGTAACTGGTAAGATTTTTATTGTATTCTTCTTTTAGCTAGAGATGGTATGCACACATGCTTGATCTTTGTCGTAAACAGTTCCCTGGAGGGAAAAACAGTAGCAAATGGTCATACTAACAATTCCAAATGGAAAATAACTTGCTGCTCTGCCTTCCTAAGAAAATCAGATGCATGTCAGAGGAAACAGACTGCAGTCTGCCCTCTTTACTGCAATCCAGTTTGGTTTGTTGTTCATTCGCTCCGTGTTTTAATCTTTGTTGACATTCTCTCTGATCCAAACCACATAGCTCAAGGCAGTGCAGGCTAGTATGAGATAAAGCTTACCCAAAAGGAGCTCTGAAGCAAGAAAACCAGGTTGCATCACAATGTCACATAGTCAGTGTCCAGAATTAGAGCAACACATGGCAAGTTTCAGGGTCTCAGTTTCAGGGCAAGGTACGGGAGATTTAAACCGGAGATGCTGCCTCATCACTGCTAAACTAGACCATTAAATTTAAATATACCAAAGGAGCATGCCTGAACATGCAGCACAAGGGACCAAATTTGGAGTATCTCTTGCTGGCTATAGCTACTGCTGAATCACAGTGGCAGAACCACTAGCTAGAAACTTCTGAGCTTTAAAAGGTTAAAGCTCTTAAGGAATGCTGCTCCTCACTATTTCTCTTGTTGCCACTGGCTCATCTAAAAGCAATCATTACACATATCTTGACATGTGAGTTGCTGGATAATTTTCCACTGCAGGTCATCTGAGGACATAGGAATGAGGTTGAAGCTACATCAAAGAGATTTGCATCTTGCTGTTTTCAATTAAACACTGTTTTTTTTAAGTAGCTGCAAGATGGGCAGAACTAGTTTGGCTTGCTCTAGACACAACTGCAGTTGAACTGAATAGGGTGCAGAATAGAGAAAGAGGTATTTGCTAACCTCTTAAAAAGGCTGACTATCTGGTTCTCTCCTATGATATTTATGGCACGTACCCTTGATGGGCACACTTCTTAGCACCTTATTAGTTCTTTCTCCCCTTGGACAGCCATTTAGAAATCTACTTGTTTAAATAGTTTTAGACTAGTGTGTCCCATTAAAGACACAGGTGCATCTTTAAGCTATTAGGGGGATTATCACCGCATGCCTCTGTCACATTTTCACCTGCTCATAATATAAACCTGCTGGCAGTGAGCCCAGTTGATTGAGTTTATTATATAGTGCCTAATAATATTCAGCCAGTTTGCTCTCCAAGTGGTTGCAGGTATTTCAGTACTGTAAAACTCTCTTACGTTTAGTCATTTCTTTTCATAGAACAATATTATCCTAAGCAATAGTTTTCTTATGGCCACCACTGACATGCACGTATTTCATTGTGAGCTATTTAGTAACTGTACTATAATTCTACAGTTCTGCACACACAGGTACACAAATATGCACAACAATTACAGCTTCAAAATGGAGTAGGTGTCACCCTAGTTTTGCTCTGAAAGCGGAGTGGGACTAGTGAGGTTTTATGCTCCCTGTTAATGTGAAATAAGCACCATTTTCCCTGTTCCCTCCCCATAGTACTGACTTAAACCTGGGGAAAACATTGTCAAAAACAGCAGCACCATCCAGCTTTTCATAACATTAAAGAAAAAAGATTGAGCAGTTACAAAATAAGTATTAACAAATCAAGAAATGCTTAAAGTCTAGCATTAATTAAGATGTCATAAGCCTGCATTTAGACTTAATTGTCCCCACATACAAGTACCTTTCACCATGCAAAATAGCAATCATATGCTGTCAAGTATTTATTTGTTCATTTAAGAATTTTTAAATATCTAAGAGTTACAGTATTAAAACCATTTCAAAAACTGGTTTTCCTGCCACCCAGTATCTAAGACTTGGCAACACTCTGGACTGAGAGCAGTAATTGAGATTAATAAAGATAGTGGGAGTTTTACCGTCAAACCTTTTCATGACAAGATGCCCATCTAGCTTGAAATGTGTTTTGTTGGGTTTTTTTCCTTTTTATTTAAAGATATTCTTTTACAAAAAAGGATGCATAAAGTTAAATGTAGTACTCAGGATTTGAAGAATCGTTTTCCCTTTCATCCTCTCTTTTACTATGGGGAAAAAAGTAAAGGATGAGATTTTGCCCAGCACCACAAAAGCACACTTTCCCTGACAGAACACTTAAGTTTTCATTACTTAGGATTAAGAAAAAATAATTATAAATGAAATAAAATTTTACTCTTTCAAACATTCTTATTAAATATGCATAACTTCATGAGCTTTAACAATGAGAATGGTTCATTGACCGTGACCTGGGACTACTTAACACCGGATCTTTTAGTCATGGTATTTCTATGGTTGATGATCCTTTCGCAAAAATCATCATTTACATGATCTGTCCAATTGGCTCCACTACATTTAGCGGCTTCAGTTAAGGTGATCTCATAAGTAGGCCTTGACATGAGTGAAGATTGCAGGATTAGTTCTTATATCAGTGCATATGAAAAATGAAAATACTACTTCCTTAAGTATTATAAAGGCTAAATCATATCTAAAAAACCACAATGTCCATAATCAAAAATATGAAGATAAAGAACAAATATGTGTGTGTATGCACGTCAGCACCTGATCTACAATTGCACAGCAAGCACAGGTTAAAAGCATATTTCTGTCTTTTCAGGTTTTGGTCCCTTTAGACAATACCTGGTTAATTCTAGCTGGGAAGCAGTGAAGGTAAGCACTAAAAAAAAAAAGGGAGGGGGGTGTTTTATTTTGCGGGGATCCCAATACAAACTGTTTTCAGGCTTTCCATTCCCTTCAAGAAAATTATTTCTTATGACTCATTAAACAGAATTGTGCCTGATGGAGCAAACTCCCAACATGGAAGAAAGAGGATCATTAAGAAGTGAAACATTATTTTATTTGCAGGATATTTTTTTGTGTGTACTATTTAAGCAATTTTCAAATTATTAGTCTTGATTTTTAAAAAGGGTATTTTTTCCTTAGGGTAACTTCTCTGCAACTAACACATATGCCACAAGTTATCTCTGTCTTCAGTAAAAAGATCATCTAATACCACAACTTATTTTATCAAATCTGTGTGAGACGATTTCCTTTTCATACAAGTGTAGCCTATTGAGATCTTACTGCCTACTTCAGGAGAACGAAACCTAGAGTGTGCCAATTCAAAGTATGTTTTCACACCTCAGCTTTGGCTTCCACTTTCAAATGACAGCGAAGTCTGCAGCTGAAATTGAAAACAAGGTCATTCAGACTTCTTTCCCCTCCATACACCTTGACTGGCATGTAACAACATGTCTAAGATGGAATCTTGAAAATGCCTGCTTATTTCCTAGGCATGTGTATTAGAACAAACTTAGCAAAAGATACAAAGATCATGGTTTGGATACCTGGCTTTCAGTATAAACTTTACTGTTACAATTGTTTATTTTCTAATTATTGTTTATGTCAACACACATTGCTTGGGACATGCCAAAAATTTCCAGAACTAGACTATTTTTCAGCAACAAGCTTACTCATTTTTAAAACATTATCTAGGTTTTAACAATAACATAATTTCTGTCTTTAAATACCTCTTACAAAATAGTAGCCAACTATTGTATGTAAGAGTATGTCTACTACAATGAAATTATTTACTAGTTTGGTACTTTAGTCCTTAAGCTCAGTCTAAAGTGTGAAAGGTCACAGTATCTATGTTCAAAGGGTAGGAACAGCTGCAGAGATTTTCTGAGTATGTGTAAAAGTCACATGCAAGGTTCATTCATTCTCCCTAGCACAGACAATGGCCATTCCTTGGGTTCAGTTACTCTCATAAGGTATTTATGCAGAGAGTTAATTTAAGAGCGTCTTTCATACGAGTTCCTAGCAATTTCGAGGTAGAAGGAAGGTTAACACAATGAAATCTGAAACTGGTTAGAGAACAGTCAAGGTAGTAAAACTGAATTGGAAGATTGGTCCAATATCTGCAAGAAATAACAGATAGTACCGATAAAAATTGAAAGCAGGACACAAAAACCAGAGGGGACTGTGTTCTATTAGGGAGGCTGAAATAAGCCCATTAACATTTCAATTCTGAATACAGGACTGTAACCATATTACAAATTTTGGTGACAGCTACTGAAGATCTGTCTTGACAATGAAGAGCAGTCAAGCCAAGACGATTGAAAAACAAGAAGCTAGTACATTTTTACAAAAAACAAAGTTGTAGCTTTATTAGCTGCACCAACCTATACATATTTTCTGTTCTGGCTTTGTTGGGTGAAGAATGCTGACTGCAACTTGTGTTTGGAAGAATAAATCTATTACCCATTCAAAGTCATGAGGGATGTTATCCCTGTAGGCTAACAAGAAACAGAAATACTTCTGTGATACCTTTCTACACCTCAGTCATCGAGACCCATAAATTATCTTAACTCCAACTTGACATGTGCCCTAAACCACAAATATTTGTCAGTTGACAATGTTCTTGCTTACTATTTCCTGATTCCTATTGGTTCCAATTTTGGGTGCAAGATCATCCTCTTCTGGCTGAAAATAAGACGTGTTCTTTATCTGCAAGCAAAACAGCCTAAAGCAAAAACACACTGATGAGAGGAGTTTTCTGTAGTGATGCCACGCACTGGCTACGCCAGGAAGTTGCATAACAAGGGCTACAGCATTCCATAATGAAACAGATGTCAGTCCTTGTGTATGGAGGAGAACGGATCCATTTCCCTCTGATGTGACACCCTCTGTGTGGAATTCATTTGTATTCATACTGGGGATGCTGCTTTGGTTTCCTATTCCCTGGCAAAGGTGGTTAATCCAGACAATTCAGGGAAATTTGCTGCAAATCTGGAAGTACTTTGAATGTTGATAGGCTTCTCCACGCTAAATAGCAATCTCATGGTATTGTTCCATTGGCCTTGTTCACATGAGTAGCCCTATGGTCTTCAGGAAGCTTATGCACTTATATTAAAGATAGCAAAATTTAGTATTTACATCTGGAAGTTATCATGTTTTGGCTTTGAGGTTCCTGCATGGATCACTAAAGTGACTTATGTCAGCCCTCCTGCTGAGTCCCTATGCTGACAACCACGCAAGAGTACACTCAAACTCATCCTCAAGAAAGTACTGAACAGCTGGACCTGAGCTACTAAACTTGATTGCTCCTTTGTACGTTATCCAGAACTATCTGAATTACTCCCTAAAAGTAACTAGGTCCTTATCAAAAGCCTGGATTACCATGGTACCCTCAGTGACGTTGTAAGGCTGATACGTGTCATCTTCTGAGTTCATATCCCAGAAGGGCTCTCACACCAAAAGCATCCAAAGTCCTGTAAAAATACATGTAACAGGAGTCCCAGAGTTCTAATTCTCAAAGCATGGCCTCACCCACCATACGTTCTGGAATGCAGTGTTTGCTAAAGAGCAATGGCTTTGCTTTTTTGAGCAATACTTGCTCTTACACACATCTGCTTCCTTAAGATCCCTGCTGAACTTCTGTGTGAGATGCTGTTGCACTCTGCTGTGCTGATGGGATCAGCCATTTTCCTGAACTTCTTTTCTTGCTGTAGGGAGATTGACCCAGTGAGCACACAGCCCATTCCAATAGCTACATCCCTTCTGTGCCCTCATCAGGCACTCAGAAAAACCGTTCTGTGATATTGTTTCTCTTAAAAATTAACTATTTACTACCACCTTTTTGGTGAAAAAGCCAATTTCCATTTTCTGAAATCCCCAGGAATCGGATGATAAATGCTAATAAAACTCTCCACATCTCTATTTCTGTTGGCTTCTAAAAGGTATTTATTCTGAATGCTTGGTTTCCTATTGACACTATGTAGCAGTGCATTGTCCCCATTCATATTATTTCATAATATGAAAATATAATTTTCCAACAACGTGAGGAGTACCCTGTTGGTTTTGCACAAACCCAGGTTCACATTTCAGCGAAGAGGACTCCCACACAAGGTGTTCATCAGCATTGCAGCCACAGAGTTCTCCTTGCTCAGCAAGTACCGCTCGAGTGTCCAGGGAAAAGGATAGTCAAATGGATCTGAAAGTACAGGCGAACCTGTCAATTCAGGGTCATTGAGAAAAGCTTCAGAGCTTTTACAGACACTGTCACATGGCCCAACATGGTTGTCTAGCACTAGAAAGACAGCTTCTCTTTTAGAAACCTGTCTCACTAAGTTTTTCATGGTTCTCATAACTCCATTCACCTGAAATACCCTCCTAAGATACGCACGAAAGCTCCACCAGCAGCACTTTTAACTCTGGAAGTGCAAGACATTCTCTCTAAAGGAAAACACCACCAAGTATTTACTCCCCATTTACTGACAGATCACATTGAGTTATCACAATGTTAGTTCTTTGGCACCACATGGGACCCTCAGAATCCCAGATCCCCTGAATTATTTATTCCATATTACAGATTGATGGTCCCACCTAATAACCCTTGATCTGACCCTGTTTCTGTGTCTCCTCCAGAAACTCCTGTCTGGCACTTGGCAGCTAAATAACCTATCAGGGCAGTCTACCATCAAGGTCAAAATCCCCAGTTAATAGGGCACAAATGTAAGTTGAGTGACAACATTCATAGTAATTAAACTGTTAGTGCAAAGAACAGGTCACATTTCCAACTGCTTCTGGGAATGATGTTTGCTATCGGGAGATGAGGATCGGATCTCCGAGTGCCGTTTTTCATCCTGCCACTGACCATGCGGTCTTTGGAAATTTGTCATTTAATCTCTCTGTCTCTCCCTCTCTGCTTTAGTTTCATCATCTGTGAAACTAAGATGACTGTTTAGTTGCTATTTAATTCCCTCATTTCTGTTTTGGAACTTTCTTACATCCCTAAAGCTTTAAAAAGGTATCAGCAGGATTTAAAAAAAAACAAACAAACAACCAGAAAACAAAAAACACCCAACAACTAAACATTGTCTGCAACATTCTTGCAGGCTGACCGGGTCAACTGATAACCTCTGGGTTTCTTTCTGCACCAACACAAGCCCTTTTGCATGAGGTTCCCAAAATTAACACATGCCTCCTTCCCCAGCAACCCAAATCAGTGAACACTCAGGAAAACTCGGGGACATTTTCGGGAGTTTTTTTAAAAGTTCAAGATGCTTCTAACACCCCGTGTGACACCAACCGCTGCACCTGAGCTCAGCTGATCTGTGCAAAGCACTTCTCTTTGGGGAGAGCAGTGTAACAACATGGGCCAGAACCCCAGTGGACCAGGACTATGACCACAACTCGCCAACAACTCCAGGTCATCAGCTGATAAGGCTGCACTTCATTTCCCTTTTAGAAGAACTTCCCGACAACGAATCTCCATGCTTTCTTTTGAACCACTTTTCCCACAAAAAAAAAGTCCTCCAAAACCTTTATCCTCTTTTGAAGTTTCCTTTGCTCTTTCAACTACAAAAGACAGACACTTGTTTACTGAATGAACTCACCAGCGTGAGCTCTAGTTTCCAGATGCAGTCATCCTCCTCTAACCATCTTCGGTCTCTCACCTTAAATGCAAAGATGGTTTTAGTTAAGGCTGAGACAAGGAACAACCTTTTTTTTTTCTTTTTTGTGGTCCTTGTTTGCACAACATCGGGTCTAGTGGGGTATAAGCCCATGGGGTAGGATTCTTAGACGACAAAGTAATACACATTATTGACAACATGCTGAAATTGCTTAGGACATAGCAAACTACCTTCCTTTGACACAAATTCTCAGCCCTTTGCTATTGGCCAGCTTCTGGGTTTGTCCTGCACGGAAGTATTTTTGCATGTTTCTCCCATGACAAATGGTGACAACAGAATGTCAATCCTGAGAGCACGAGAGGAGAACAGCCCAACAACTTACTCTGGGTCTCCACAGCCTGTACTGAAGTTACGGGTAGTCGAGTCCTCTAAGCCTTACAGTTAAAAAGGAAGAATCTCATTAAATGTTAAAATTAAAGATGCTTTAGAAAAGAAAATGCTAATTGTGGACCAGCTGGGGTTTTCTTTTTTGGAAGCTGAGACACAGTACAGCATTCTTAAGCAAGATGATGCAATGGTCTCTCAAAGCCTGTCAGTGCCCAGAGGAAAAAAGGCTGGCACTGTTCTCCAAATGTGTTTACTTCCCTGCAGGCATTGTTTCCTTGCTTGTGTCAAATACTTTATTGAGCACAGCTAATCAATGTTTCCGCTGACAAGAAAATTGGAACAGTTTATATAGGAAGCCAGTGTTGAAGGGCAAATTTCCCAGTTAGCACGGCTTAGAACTGTGGGCCTCATCCGCATGAACATCCGTACTGAGAAATGAAAGCTTGAGAAGACATTTAGTAAGAAGTCACAGGTTTCTTGGGCTCTGCTGCTGACTTTTTGCCTATGCCCCCTTAGAAACTTCACCTGTACCCTCCTTTGGTAGTGTTCTACTCAACTGCAACAGGGATTTTCAGCCCACCATTTTACTTTTCTGGGACAAACCTTTCCACCTCAGATACTCTCTATCTGCATCCTGCCGTTGCAGCAGCCTACCTTCTACTTAGAGGCTTATGCTTTGTTTGTCAGCCCTATTCCTCTGACAAAATAATTTCAAGTCATTTCCACGTGACATTTATTCTCCAGACCGCCTTCCAACCATGTGGCCAGTCTGCTGCTTTGAAGGGTGCTTTTGTTTCTTTCACCTCAATCCTGGGCATAATTTTTGTTTCCCATGAGGAACTTCAACATGTAAATGACAGAGCAATAACATCCCAGCTTTGGTAGTGTTCTACTCAACTGCAACAGGGATTTTCAGCCCACCATTTTACTTTTCTGGGACAAACCTTTCCACCTCAGATACTCTCTATCTGCATCCTGCCATTGCAGCAGCCTACCTTCTGCTTAGAGGTTTATGCTTTGTTTGTCAGCCCTATTCCTCTGACAAAATAATTTCAAGTCATTTCCACGTGACATTTATTCTCCAGACCGCCTTCCAACCATGTGGCCAGTCTGCTGCTTTGAAGGGTGCTTTTGTTTCTTTCACCTCAATCCTGGGCATAATTTTTGTTTCCCATGAGGAACTTCATGTAAATGACAGAGCAATAACATCCCAGCAAGTGACATTTCCTTTTACGAGAGAAACATATTCTAGACCAGAGCTTACCTGAACCAGTTCAAGCCAGCAGATCGTGTGTCACTGGAGTGGACAGCTTATGTGGATTCCTCCTAGTTTGTGTCTCTTGATGGTGCGGGTTTATCTACTAGAGTTTTCAGAGGACCAGCTCTTACCTGTTTAGATGCTTTCAAGTGCAGATCCTTTCTGAGAGATCCTTTATTTCATGGTTCATGGTTCTCCATGGACCAGTCCCTAAGCAATAACCACTCCCACCCATTGGAGACTGAGATCAAAGCCTGTTTAGATGCTTTCAAGTGCAGATCCCTTCTGAGAGATCCTGTATTTCATGGTTCCCCATGGACCAGTCCCTAAACAATAACCACTCCCACCCATTGGAGACTGAGCATCCCTTTGGGAAACACAACAATGGCTCCACATGGACATTAGGAAACTGGTAAACACATTTTAGTCTCTTCCAGCCAGAAAAGGGAGAGCTACCACAAAACAACTGACTGCAGACCAATATTTAGGAACCACGGGCTCAGACAGCATTACATTGCTCTTTCCTATGTTTTCTCAGTTGGATCAGCCTGATTTCTCTATCGCAGTCTGAGAAATTCAGTGCTCTTAAAAGTCCATGGTGGTTTTTTTGTAAACACAGGAGCTGTCCAAGAGAGGCCTTGGTGAAAACATAGATCTGCGAATCATGCAGCTGCCAGTGGTTTACCAAAAAGCAAAGGAGCAAGTCTTCATGATATGGAAAACTCTTCAGCCACTGGTGAGTAATTAGGAAGTTACACAATTTTTCCCCTTCATTTATGAGTATTATTATTCTGACTAGAGCTTTAAAAAGATCTCCAAAAGAGTATTGCACAATATGCGCATCAGACAGCTCTGGAAAGTGACTATTAAAACTGTGATAAAGGTTTCAACCAAATTTGGAGCACACAATGATTAACATTTCATTTAACCTTTTGCCATTTAAACAGCGTAACTGCCCATTGAACAAAGGGGGGGAAAAAAAATCCACCATAAATTGCAAAGGAGGTACCACAGCTCTGAAGTCCTGAGCTGGCTAGACACAATCAAAACAAACTAAAGCACAGTTTTGTTCTCATTTATAATCTCTTTTCTTTAGGCATGAGCTACAGCAAGACTCCCTACCTTGAAGCTAGTATTTCACATAATGCTTGGCGCTATTGCATTGCAGGTTTTTTTTTAAAAAAAAAACAGGTCTCATTTTTAATTTCCTGTTATTCACTCCGGTGGGAAAAAACCAGCTTAGTGTTCATGTTGGGCTGGCTTCATCCACCAAAGCAGTCATCATCCTCGAGCAGTGTGGGAAGAACAAAGGCTACCAAGAGATGGATGCTTGTGGTTTTCACCCAGAAGGTGGCTGTTGCATGCTAGATGGCCCGGAAAAGATTGAATCTACAATTAATATGAAGACTCTCTGGAAAAACATTTTGGTGGAAGGGATTGATATCATCTTTTCCAGAGATGCGGGAAGGTAAGCATTGCATATCAGGGTCTCTCAGTAAAAGCAGAAGTAACTCAATCAGCTCATTTAACCTTGACGAATCTTTGTAATGAGTTTTCCTCCAACCAGAATCGCTTTGAAGCAAAGTCTTCAGAAGGGGCACAGGTATGAAATTGGGATAAATTTAAATTTTATGTAAAGCAGCCTTCATGAAAAACTACAGCCAGTAGATATTTTTCCATGGATTTCTAAATTCCAAAAGAAACAAGTTTCAACACAGCACACCCTGTGATTAACAATCCCAGTAAACCTGAACTATTAAGAGAGTCTGAAAGCAATACTGACTAGTAGCAGATTTTAATCTATTTTTCCCAACTGGGAGGGATACAAAATGTAAATACATACACTGAAGAACAGAGCAATTACAGGTACCTTTTGAACAACGTCTGTGATCTCATTATGTTTCAGGAGTACTGAAGCCATTTTCTGTTATGCTAGTCTTTATTTAAAAGGAAAACACAGAAAACAGAGAATGATCTAATTTAAAAAAAAATAAAAATCAGCTAATTTAGGCCTTTAATTTTAGGATTTTCACCTCTAAGTGAAAAGGTAGAGTGATAAGAAAAAAAAAAAAAACCTCAGACAGGGAGACTGTATGATTTATACAAAAAAATGTTGTAGTTCCAGTGGGCTGTGCTGCCTTTCCCATCTCACACCGCTTACAGGCGCCCAGGAAAGAAGGCACGTCTTGTGAGTTTTTTATTTGAAGTTCCTTCTGGGTGGGTGTCTTCAGAAACCATCAGATAAGGAACATTTGTTTTTCAAACTTGGTTTATTTCAGCATTTCCTTTATTCACTAAGCAAATAAAAGCACTTTGAAGCAAAGTCTTCAGAAGGAGCACAGGTATGAAATTGGGATAAATTTAAATTTTATGTAAAGCAGCCTTCATGAAAAACTACAGCCAGTAGATATTTTTCCATGGATTTCTAAATTCCAAAAGAAACAAGTTTCAACACAGCACACCCTGTGATTAACAATCCCAGTAAACCTGAACTATTAAGAGAGTCTGAAAGCAATACTGACTAGTAGCAGATTTTAATCTATTTTTCCCAACTGGGAGGGATACAAAATGTAAATACATACACTGAAGAACAGAGCAATTACAGGTACCTTTTGAACAACGTCTGTGATCTCATTATGTTTCAGGAGTACTGAAGCCATTTTCTGTTATGCTAGTCTTTATTTAAAAGGAAAACACAGAAAACAGAGAATGATCTAATTTAAAAAAAAATAAAAATCAGCTAATTTAGGCCTTTAATTTTAGGATTTTCACCTCTAAGTGAAAAGGTAGAGTGATAAGAAAAAAAAACCAAACAACTCAGACAGGGAGACTGTATGATTTATACAAAAAAATGTTGTAGTTCCAGTGGGCTGTGCTGCCTTTCCCATCTCACACAGCTTACAGGCGCCCAGGAAAGAAGACACGTCTTGTGAGTTTTTATTTGAAGTTCCTTCTGGGTGGGTGTCTTCAGAAACCATCAGATAAGGAACATTTGTTTTTCAAACTTGGTTTATTTCAGCATTTCCTTTATTCACTAAGCAAATACGTTTTGAAACCAAACCATCAGATAAGGAACATTTGTTTTTCAAACTTGGTTTATTTCAGCATTTCCTTTATTCACTAAGCAAATACGTTTTTAATAATTTCATAAACCAGATCTGGCTTGGCTACTTAAAGAATATTTAAATTTAATCAAAGTTTACCGTTCCTTAATTCAGCTTTCTGGTTTTTGTTGTTTGTTTTTTTTTTTTTTGTCCTGAATATTGCAGGTATATCTGTGATTATACCTACTACACTTCTCTTTACTATGGCAATGGAAGAGCAGCTTTCATCCATGTGCCTCCGTTATCCAAATCGGTAACAGCGGACTTTCTAGGGAAAGCATTACAGACAATTATTTTAGAAATGTTAAAACAGTGTGGGGAAGAACGAGAGTAAGATGGATAATACTAGAAAACAATGAGGATTTCTTAGAATGCAATTCCTCACCTCTTAAATGAAGCAAATCTAAATATCATTTAAAACCCTTACATAAAGGATTTTATATTCCATGTTATTTCCAGTGAAATTTCCTCACAAAACTCAAAAACTGTTTAGATCTCTCTTTGGTGTAGGAAGCTTCAGAGAAAAAACAAATGATTGGCAGTCTGTATTGGTAACAATGATAAGGTTCAGATTTAAGGCGGCGTGAAACTGGACTTAAACCCTTTTAGATGCTTAATCCTAGTTCTGATGGTTAGAAAGACATAAAGACCTGCTGAACCGAGATGGATGGTTACAGCCGCAAGGACATTCAGCAGTGGAGGGATATAAGAGATCCCCTCAGTCCCTGTCCATGTCCAGAGAGATGGTTCAGCCATGCAAAGTGCCCACATAAAAAATATAAATACAGGAGAGAACAAAAAAACACGTAGGGATTCTGTAATGTGAAGTTTTACAATTTACAATTGCCTGCTCTAAAAGCCAATTTCCACATCAGAAATGAGTTATAAACACAGAAAAGAAAGTAAACAAGCTGGAATCCAGCCGAAAGGGGTAATGCTATTAGTAACTTGGGTTTCAACTGCCCCAAACCACCACTTACCCCACATTCTCAGGGCCTGACCCAAAGGAAAACGCTGTTGCCCTTCCCCACAGAGCACAGCACAAAGACAACAGTCTTTCAGTAGAACAGGTCACGCCTATTCGGGGACTTGTACATCAAAATCAAAAAGCTAACTCATCCCAAGAAAGGCAATCCTTGAAGCACTGTGCTGTGGCACGTGGTGTTACTTACAAAACAGGAACCACACAAGATCCCAAACTGTAAAACGTGGGCCACCACTCTGCCTTATTTCAATCAACACTTTGATGACAGGAGTCAGAAGAACTGGAAACGCCAAGAAAATTCTACTTTTCATGCCACTGTCTTTTTCAATAACCATTACAGAAAACTGATAACCACGTGCTGGATGGCCGATCGCCTCATCTATGGATTGCTGTACAAGTAGATAAGCAGGGGGTCTTCAAATAAATAAATAAACGAATAAATAAGCTTACCTTTTTCAAGGGAACTACCTGCTCCAAACCAGACTCAAAGTCCTATTGAGAAAGGATCCAAAAGCTCGTTGTCACTGGACAAAAGGACTCTTGCTTTCAACCCAACGCAGTGGCAGTACTGACCTCTACCAACATTTCTTCAGAGTAGCTCAATTAAATAGAGCCAAAAAAGGCAGAATTAAACCAGAGATTTACTCAGCTTTTACCAACCTATACTTGCTTTGCATTAGGAGCAACAAATTCAGAAACAGGCAAATGCATACAGAATTCTTTTATTTAACTTAAATCATGTAGTACTGAAACTACTAGAAAAAAGCAGAGTAAGAGAAACTAAAGGAGCCTTAGCTTCAGCCATTCAAAATAGACAAAAGTTTCTTCTTTTCATAATGTAAAGAATCCCGAGTATATCGCAATAACAGGAATAAATTCTTACAACAGAATATACAAAAACATTTTGAATTTTTTTTTTTATCTACTGATTCATTTTAATATAAACACAGGAATTTCTTTAGGAATAATTTATACACAGCAAGTCTTTTAATGTAATAAATTGGCCATGTTATTGTTTAATTTTCTCTTAAAAAAATTTAAACAAGAAAAATTGGAAAATGTTGTATTTGCAACTGCATCCATTCCTTAGCACTTTCTAGTTTTGTTTTTGTCCCAGAGGTAGACGAACTCTGGCCAATCCTTTCATCTCAAACCTCACTGGTTCAGAAAACAGAAGAGCTGATTTTCAAACAGTATCTAAATCATTGTAACCCTTCAGCAACGTGGTCAGTCAAATTCGGGGGGAGCGAGGGAAAAGGGATCTTCAATACTCTTAAATAAAAATAAATAGGGACCCTGCCTTGCTCATTACAACAAAGCTTCCAACGGTGCTCAGCATCTTGAGAGGCTGCGTACAAACTTTTAAAGTAAAGAAATCTGCAACTAGTTCTTCAATAGTAATTATGAAAACTGTCTTCCCTCTTTCTCTTACTTCAAACCACACGGCCACCGTCAAGCAGGAACTGAACAGCACAAGTGAGTGTGGGTAGCAGCAAAACCCGTTCTGTTTCCCCGACCAGTGAGGTTCTTGTAATCCATTAAGTTAACTGTGAAATGACCAGTTAAGATAATCCCACCCCAACCAGAGGGCTCTGGAAGACCAGGATACTGAAGATACAGAACATTTCTCCAACTCCTTTCCTCGTTCGCTATAGACTGGGACACAAAGCTCAGGGGGAGAGGGACACGCCGTGAGCTGGACACGTCAGCCATCCTTTTTTTTTGGCATATTGTAAAGCTAGCCAGGAAACTGGTACCATCGAAACAACTCGTCACATACAGACACACCCAGACACAGACACAGAAAAGTGCCCTTAAATTATACTTTAGGCATTTATAAACTACAAACATTTTATAAAATTATTCTATGTGCTTACAAAATGCAATGAAACATTTAATTAGTTCTTGTAAACCAGATCTTCGTCAACTGACTACCCGTAATCTACTGGACTTAAAGCCCTATTGAAAATGCTAATGGTTACTAATCAACGGAACGCATACAAATAAAAAAAATAATAAAGATGAACACACACACACACACACGTTTGCACCCACACAAACTAGTGATAGTCTTAAGGTACTTGCAAAACAGACCAACTGTAAGTTGAGACTGATTGATAGAGAGCAATGATGACAACTGTTAAACTCCAGTAATGGATTTACCACCCCAGCTGGGAAGTCCAGAGGTTCATTTACAAGTACCAACGATCACAGCTGCGATACCTGAGCTCTGATGCCGCCCCACGTTACTAAGCTCAGGAAACTACCTCCAACTTCTGCCAAGCCCTGTGTCTCTGTAGATACCCATGTCCATGTCCTTTGTGTTCACGTGTCTCCACGCAGACACTCCTCAGTTCTCATCTACCCGGCCGTGCTCCATCTCAGAGGCCGTTTATCCTCTCTGAGCAACCAGCTCTGAGCTGAGGCACAAACTAGTGATAGTCTTAAGGTACTTGCAAAACAGACCAACTGTAAGTTGAGACTGATTGATAGAGAGCGATGATGACAACTGTTAAACTCCAGTAATGGATTTACCACCCCAGCTGGGAAGTCCAGAGGTTCATTTACAAGTACCAACGATCACAGCTGCGATACCTGAGCTCTGATGCCGCCCCACGTTACTAAGCTCAGGAAACTACCTCCAACTTCTGCCAAGCCCTGTGTCTCTGTAGATACCCATGTCCATGTCCTTTGTGTTCACGTGTCTCCACGCAGACACTCCTCAGTTCTCATCTACCCGGCCGTGCTCCATCTCAGAGGCCGTTTATCCTCTCTGAGCAACCAGCTCTGAGCTGAGGCATCCTTTGAAGCCCTCCTGCCTGTTTATAGTTCTGTATCTTCAGCACCCCTGGCCACTACTGTTGTTTCTGCACATCATTCTTAAATTCTTGTCTGCACAACTGCTCACGGGTTAAGTTGCAATATCTGGCTTTTATCACTGGTGAGTAAGGAGTGGATCCCTTGCACCTTCCTCCAACTGTTGTTCAGCCCAGTGATTAAATACACGGTTGACAAACAAAATAAGAATAACAGGAAACAAGTGTTACTTGTACTAATGGAATGAAAAGGGTTTAAATATATATATCTATATTACAGATATACATATACAGATATATATATGTATATATAGATATATATGTATGGAGTTATACCAACAATAGGAGTGTCGTTCACTTCGGTTGTACTGAACACCCCTCAGCAGTTCCCAGAGGACCTGACAGCAGTTCCATCTGGTGACCAGTCGTCCTGGGCAAACTGGGCTTTATTTTTGTTTGTTTTAAAAGACCAAGAGGAGCATCAGTGCGAACCTGCCTCCAACCAGACACCGCCTCCAACCAGCTGGAAAGAGCAGAGGCATCACGCTGAGAAAGGCTCGCGCTTTCCACCACGCTCCGCTTCTGCGTCTAGTTCATCGCTCCCCCCAAAGAGCACCTTATTCATATATATATATAGATATATATGTTCATATACAGAGTGCCAGGCAGCTGACACTTCTGTCTTTACATAGGAGCCACGTTCCTTTGCAACCAAACCACCTTCTGTGCCACTGAGCGGCTCTGGGACGCCAGGCAGGTGAGAAGAACGGCCGCGCACTAAAACCAAAGCCGCCTGCTCCCTGCAGCGATGCCAATTTGTTATCCCTCTGCATTGAAACATCTTGGTACCATTTGTCAAAAAGTGCTGGTTTTCAGGGCTGGGTGGGCTTTTGTTTTTAATTTATAAACAAATTGGATTACTTTAACTTTATTCAAACATAGCTGAATTTCTAAGTAAATTTTCCATACCAGACAAGCCAGTGGTCTCAGGGAAGAACAACATTACAAACCGTATTATGACTCTATCAAGCCAACATTAATTCTCAGTTGTTCACATGCACAAACAACTTGATTTACTGTCCAAGGGAAGTCTGCATGAAAAACCCATGTGAATAAAGCTATTCAAAATGCACAAAACACAACAAAACAAAACAAAAAAAAAAGCTATGGAAACAAACAGAACAAAAAAAAGGAATTAAGCTTGAATTGCAAACACAGAACGCAATGGTATCATGAAGGTGGTTTGGTCCAGGAGAGCTGACTGTCACCACGCACGCGTACGTGATGTCACGCGACTGTCTTTACCCAAGTGCTTTTTGAAATGTTTCTCATGATGGGTGCTACGTCATTAGTGTTTTGTCCTAATGCATTTTAAAACCACCTACGTACAATTATAAAACCCAGTAACTTGGACAGTTTTAACAAAACCCTCCTAGCCAGCTGAAAGATCTGAGGATCTCCAGTTGTGGTAATCAATATGTGCGAGAGAGGGGAAGAGTCACTGCGCCGAAGGGCCACTGGAACCCAATCAAAAATGGAAAACCAGAACAAACTGGTAAAAACATTAAATTTTGCTGGTTTCTCAGGGCCAGAGAGAAACGCTCCCTCCAAAGACAAACTCCGTGGTGTGTAACCACAGCCTGTACAGCTCAGAGTAGCCAAGCACCACGGTGTTCAGATCCCACAACCAACACCTGCACCAACAGCTGCCAGAGCTGGAAAAAAAAGAGCAACGTTATCCATCAAGTTGACAGCAAGCTCGTGTTAGTCCTGTGTGCTTGTAAACCAGTTACACGCTGTCAGAGGGCAGTTAAAATTTGATGGCTGGTCCATCAGAATCCACAGTTATGAAGCATATAAACAGGGGAAGAAAAGGGAACTGAATTTT